CTTCTTCTTCTTCTTCTTCTTCTTCTTCTTCTTCTTCTTCTGAAGGGTTTTCCAATCCTCTGGAGCAGATTTATGAGTGTGGGAGGCTTAGGGTGGAAGAAGGAAGAATCATGGGCAATTACTTCCTTTCCATCAGCAGAGTGGTACCATTGAAGACAACCCATCAATGTCTTTCAACCAGGGCTCCATGGAACCCTTGGGTTTTGTGAACTCCCCCCTCCCCCAGGATTCCATGAAGTTTTGTAATGATGAAATAGATTTCTTACTACCAATATTCCTTACGATTTTTACTTTGTATATGTTCGAGGGGTGGCATTTTATAATTGTTAAATAAACAACAGGGGGCGACAGTAAGAGGAGGTTGGGGTTTTGCAGGATGTCACAACAGGATACAGTGGTTCCTCAACCCTGGAAAGAGTTGAATATCACTGGTCTAGACAATCCAGATACTGTCGCCACAGATTGGCCACCAAGGTAGTTTGCCTCTAGAAATACAAAGACTTTGCAGCCCCTTTTCAAGACAAGAAATCTGGGTTTACTGGATGTGCAAGGGTGGAGTAGGGTTGTGGGAGTGCTTTTCTTCTAGAATAAAAAAAAGGTGCCGGTACCGCGTACCCTTGAGTATGCACAGAATAAAAGCACTGGGTTGTGGTAGCAAGCACATTGACCTAGTCTACATGTATTCAGCAGACTGTGACAACAGGCCCCATGCTCACAGGCTTTGTGCACATGATTCTTCAGGGTTTTCTGTCACCTAGACAAGCCTATACATGACAGCTTTTGTCCATGTGAGAGGTTGGTCACATCAGTCAGAAGTTGAACCAGTGGGAATGGAATTGGAATTAGAGATGCAGTCAAATGTTATATTCTTCCCCTCAGCCATTGTAAGCCTACATATTGCCTCTTGTAAATCAGCCTTAATACCACTTCCCAACCATTTTAGTTCTAGTGCAGACTTGACTGTGACATAGGCTAGTACTGCACATGCTGCTGCCTTCTCTAATAGCACTGTGTGCTACTGTGTTTTGCCAGTCTCTCTGCCCATGCATGTGTCTATCACACTCATGCTTTGTTTGTGCGCTTCCCATAGGGTTTGGGTCGGCCACTGTGGGAGCAGAAGGCTGCACTAGATAGGCATTTGGTAGGATGAGGCAGGACTTCTCACACATTCGTCTCATGTGCTGCATCTCATTTTCCTTTCCAACCTAGAGAAGAACTCCTTAGGGAAATGATTCATAATACAACCCAGTGTTACTGTATCACTAAAAATCACCTAACAAGGTAATTACAAATAGGAGCAGCAACATCACTACATGCTCTCTTCCTAATAGATCATTAGCATGTCCAGAGCAGAGCCCCATCGTGAGTGTGGGTAGGGAAGCTGCTTTTTGTGACCAGTTGTTTCTTGTTAAATTCCCTGGATTGGGAAATTGCTGAGTAATTTTGCTCTTCATAATTCTGTGTAATGGTCTAAACCAGTGGTTCCCAATTAACTAATTCAAAAGCCAAGCCATGGACCTCCTAATTTGCAAAATTTTGCTCTCTCTATGGTAGCTTTCGTTATGTGAATGGGGCCATGGATCCCCAGGGTGGATTACACAGAGCCCCTGGGGTCCGCAGACCACCGGTTGAGAACCACTAGTCTAAACACTAGGAATAAAATGAGGCGGGGGCTTCCATATTCCTAAAACTATTATGTGTACCCTAAGTTACGAAAGCAATTTTGGCCAAATCTTTCCCAGCCTGAGACTCTGAAAGAACTTGTCACATTGGACCTTCCCATAATCACTGTAACTCATAAGCTCCACGACATTGTGGGTAATTAATTGGAAGGAAGCAGTACCTGAAAACAGCAGGTGGCTCGCTGCCTACACGTATTTCTAATATTAGCTTAACACCAGTGTGTTTGTAAACGGTAAACAAATTCTGGTTAGATAAAAAACAGAGCAAACACCAACTGCTCACATACTCAGAGCCATCAGATAATATTTATTTGTTATTTCGGATATATTCATTAGTGAAAGGTATCATTTCACTACACAAAGGAATCGAGCCCGTCTACTGCAACTTCAGCCTCTGAACATGGAGGGATCCCCCAAAGGACACAACAGAGTTCTTGGTGTATATTCACAGATATAACCCCAGATCATTCCTGGGAATGGGAGGCCTGCGCAGGCCACCTATACCTCATGCCTATTTAGCTTGCCACTTCTAGCTTGGCCACAGAAAATGGAACACACATAGGATTCCTGCCCACCTTTAACGCCTGATTTCCTGAGTGGGCTTGCCAGGACAGGAGAGGGTAGGCTGGGCTCTACTTCACTGAATCAAACCCAAATTAAATAGCACAGCTACCAAATGGTTGCTTCTGGAGCTCTTTTGGAAATACAATTGATTGACTTAAGTGGGGCTAGCCTGTTTGTTTATGGCAGGGCAACACTGTATTTGCATATTGCTGTATTTTTGGCTTCCACTGCTTACAGACTTAAAGTAAATGTAATTTTCTAATAAATATTAATATGCATTTTAAAGAATATCTTTCTTCCCAATGTGAAGCTCATCTTCTTTTCATCACAGTGTGCTTATGATCTGAGCCAGCTCTGGTTGTTTTAATAATCATTTTTTACGATTCCTCAAGGCATACTGAACAGCAGAGATATGTCACTAGAGTCCTATATTAATACGCTTCCATAGTAATGATTAATTTAACGTCATGGAGATTATAAGAATTAAAAACACATAATCAATCATAAGAGGTTTATTGCACTGGTTGATGTATACAATCTATTAACCGGTCTTTTTGTTTTAATTGGATATTATTTGCTAATGTTTCTTGAAGGCATTCTTATTAATGGGTACAGTCAAAACCTCAGGAAGTCAAGTTGGAAAGCTCACGATAAAATTTAGCATACACGTTTCCTACATTTTACTAGCCCCTAAAAACCCACAACACAAACACAATTTTTAGATCATATAATATGAGCTTGTTTGTTCAAAAATGGTGCTAGAATTGGCTTTTAGTCTGGATTATACCAGAAAAAGCAGAAAATTGATGTACAATTGAGACTGTGCATTCTAGAAATTTAGGAATTGCATTCAGTCTTATATTCGTGGTAGCTGACTGGAAAACATTCCTGTTGGACTCCTAGGTTTCCATCAGGTCTGCAGTTGACATTTCAAACAGGAATGGTGCTAATTGACAATAAAACTGTCTGCTTCCTCCTGGTAAGCAGTGGCGTAGCGTGGGTTGTCAGCACCCGGGGCAAGGCAAGTAATTTGCGCCCCCTAACCCGTGGATTTGCGCCCCCTAACCCCCAGATGTTGCGCCCGGTGCGGCCGCCGCCCCCCCCCCCGCACCCCCCACGCTACGCCACTGCTGGTAAGGAAGGCTGAAGCTTAGGTGAGAGCTGCTGTTTTAGCATTGAAGTAGATTAAACTGGGAGCTTATATAGGTGCTGGAGACTCCGCCCCTTCCTGCTCTAATTCAAGCAAATGTCTCCATATCCTTCCCCAGCAGCCCCATGGATAGCTGACTGAGCATTTCAAGACTGGCTCTGAAGCTCCAGCCTGGGTCGCTATCTCCTCTGCTCCTGTGAAACTGGATGGTGCTTAGAGCCCACCAGGAACCCAAGCAGCTGTTGTGGCAACATTCAGCTCTGCAGTGGGGGGTGTCCAGATTCAGTGGCTCTTAGGATCATTGATAGTGTTGAGATCTGCTGGAGAGTCCTGATTACCTTGCTGCTCACCTGAGATGGTCTGGGCAGGGCTGAACCCTAACAAAAACTATGTGGAATCATAACCTTTGAGTGGGGGGTCTGCATACCAGTGGTCACTCACAATAGGTTTATCTGCTAAACCTTAGGAATGTAGCAAAAGCAATGATTTCATATTTGTTTGTTGTGTTTAGAGGATCAGGAATGATCACATAACGTGGGTGGAGTGTGCTTTTAAGTGGCAATTTTTTCAGTAAAAGAATTAAAATCTTGAAAGGTACTGAAATGATTTCTAATACAAACAGGATCAGCAATAGCTTTTAAAGGATTGCTAAAGGACCAAAATGTGATTTAAACTGTAATAGATATTGATTTCTATATTAGTGTTTCTGCTCCTTGTATTGCATATCTGCTGCCATTTGCTAAAACAAGAATGACATTTTTCATGGTATTGACTGTAAAGTGAGCTGAATTGCAGTAGTCCTCTACTCTGCTTTAGATCTTGAAAATAATTTTATGCAAACAATAATGGTTAAGGTTCATAAGGCTGCATTCCCTGGGCTTTCAAATGATATACCAAGTATTCAAGAAATGTAGACAAAAAGACTGCAAGGAGCCTAATGAGCTATATCTTTGTGGGTATGAATTTCCCAGAAACAATATTAGCAAGTATTCCTTAACAATAATGCAAGTTACCAAAGCAGTCATCACAGGATGACAATAGGAATGTCAGTGAGATTCAGATTTAATGCAAACCTACCCAATTTACGGGACACGGGTGGCGCTGTGGGTTAAAACACAGAGCCTAGACTTGCCGATCAGAAGGTCAGCGGTTTGAATCCGCCACGGGCTGAGCTCCCGTTGCTTGGTCCCTGCTCCTGCCAACCTAGCAGTTCGAAAGCACATCAAAGTGCAAGTAGACAAATACTTGCTCTGGCGGGAAGGTAAACAGCATTTCCGTGCACTGCTCTGGTTCGCCAGAAGTGGCTTAGTCATGCTGGCCACATGACCCGGAAAGCTGTACGCCGGCTCCCTTGGCCAATAAAGCGAGATGAGCGCTGCAACCCCAGAGTCGGCCACGACTGGACCTAATGGTCACGGGTCCTTTACCTTTACCTTACCCAATTTACACTTCCCAAACAAAAAACAACAGCTATCCTTTGAAATCTGCACTTCTCTAAATTTTGTGATGCAGGAATCTTAACAAAAAAAATGTGTATCTTATGGGAAAGTGTGCATAAAAATGTATATATAAGTGAAAATAGCATGCAGAAATGCATTATATTAGGGAAGACTGTTTGCAAAAATGTGTATAGGAGCTCAAAACGGGGTGGGACCCAGCTTCAGGCATGCTTGCAGAAAACTAACTATCTAGACTTATTTCAATCTGGTTTCAAAGCAGGCTTGGCTGCCCTGGTTGATTACTTTTGTTGGGAGTAATATAAGGGATTCCATTGAATTAAATGGAGAGGCCTGCTCACATTGTAGTTTTGGGTGTGCTTTGGAATACTGTACTTGTGTTCTGAGAAGGAATGCATCACATTATAGGTAGGTATCCCCATACGTTTTGTGATGGCTTTTTAAAAAGGATATGGGGGGGAAACATGATATGAAAAATAGGGGGAGATGGGATGGGGCTTGTGAGCTTCATAAAGATCTCCCCTACATGTTCCTCCTTAATCTCAACCCTGGTGGTGATGAATCTGAATCACAAGCAGTTCTACAAACAATCTTCAGCATTCTCTGAATGAAGAGAGGCTCAACAGTAGTGATGTGCAAGTCTCGTGCTTAAATTAATGCTCTGCTGCTATCTCAGCCGCCATTGTTCACTTGATTCCAGCTGACCTACACCCTCCCTGATCTCCATCTCCTCCTTACCATTACAATTGTAAAATTAGCCCGTTATATATTCTGATAAACAAATGGATAGGTCATACAAACCACAGTCTCTTGTCCTTTAGTCATGGACTCAGCCATTAAACCCAGATGCACTCTGCTTTTCTGCGGCTGGGCATATTAAAGATGTCTATGTTTCCAAAGAGCTTTATTGAAGCTCAACGTCCCCCCAAATGGCCTTGCGTTTTCATGTCAGAAGCTGTTATTTTTGAGCATGCCTGTGGGGTTAAAGGGGAGGGAATTAGAAGTTTGAGACAGTGTTTGTTTAAATTCCTGATGAATTATACAAAGTCTGCATGTTTATCAGAAGACTTGTCATTTTGGTAAGACAGAATGATGGGAACAAACACATTTAGTGAAGAATCCCACGTCAAAAGGAATGCAATTAATCTTCACTAAACCATTCTCTCATGTGTTTTTACCAGAATGAGACAAACACGCTGTATAGGCCTTTAACAATTCTAGAGACAAGGACAGTGCTAGGAATCCAAGATAACTTTTCCTTATCAGAAGGCTTTTCAAGTAACTGTAGATTATTTTGCACCATGCCGTGCAGTTAAATGTCAAAGGATACATTTAGACAAAAGGTAACTGATACAGAAATGATTATTGGGGTCTTCAGCAGAACCTTTTGAAATGAGGCTGTATTTCTACTTTAATTTAGGTCACATAAATAGTTCTGCCTTCCCCTGCATACTTGTCTGCTTAAGCTATGTGTGTAGCCTTCTAAAAACCAAAGCAATAGCAAAGGCAATCTGTTGAGCCATGTACTGTGTATGTTGTCCAGCTTATCGGTAAATTTCAAAACAAATGATACATTCCAATAATTTGTTCTTCCAAGTTTATAATGCTGGTGAAGTTTACAAAGAGATAACTTCCCCTTCTACTGCTTTCATGTTCAGAGAGTAAAAACAGGGGAAATGTTTATTTGCATTATTCAATTTAAAATATCAAAACAGGGGACTGTTTAGTAGTTCTCAAAACTGACTTGAGAACCCAGGAGAATATGCACACTGTAATCCGAAGTTGGGACGCGGGTGGCCTATACCACTGAGCCTAGGGCTTGCCAATTGGAAGGTCGGTGGTTTGAATCCGCCACGGGCTGAGCTCCCGTTGCTCGGTCCCTGCTCCTGCCAACCTAGCAGTTCGAAAGCACGTCAAAGTGCAAGTAGATAAATAGGTACCGCTCTGGCGGGAAGGTAAACGGCATTTCCGTGCGCTGCTGTGGTTCGCCAGAAGCGGCTTAGTCATGCTGGCCATATGACCTGGAAAAACTGTCTGCAGACAAACGCTGGCTCCCTCAGCCAGTAAAGTGAGATGAGCGCCACAACCCCAGAGTTGTCTGTGAGTGGACTTATCTGTCAGGGGTCCTTTACCTTTTCCTTTTAAATCTGAAGTTACAACTGCCTGCTGTCAAAGGGTGTCTGTGGATGATGAGCAAAGAATGCAAGCTTAACTTGAAGTGAAAAATGGGGAAATGTTGTTTAGTACCTAATTAAGAGACCATAACGCTGCATAAGTGTTATCCTCCATGCAATCATTTGGAGGAAGAGAACAGTGCTGTATTTGCTGACCCCACCCCTGCCATCATCTACACTGCTGGTTCCACAGCTGTTCATGTATTGGGAGAAGGGCTGCAAGAGGGATCCTGCTCTATAAACTTTAGAATCTAAATCATGGGGGAAGTTTATATGTGTAGAAAAGTCTCCCTACTTTTCCCAGCATATGGATGGCAGGGAGTGTAGAGGACCCGATCACAAAGATGATAATGGCCAAATATGGCTAATTTAAATGAGTGGGTAGACAAGAGCAAGAATCTCTGCATTCTTCCCCAAAGCGGTTTAACCATTTTTTGTTTCCATCAACCCTGTAAGTTTATTTCCAAAAGTCATCTCCACTGCTTTATGTTTACTTCTCCTTTGAAATGTTATGCAACAGTCAGATACATGAGACTTCTGGTTTATTGAGATATCTCTGTTTCTGGTACAATAATTACTATTCGACAGATAAGATATTTAAGCTGGCAGGTCTCATGTGTACTAAATATAGGAACAGCACATTCTTAAACGAAGTAAATACGGTAAGCCCGCAACTTAACATGCATTTAACCTGTGCACATTCAACTTTATGTGTGTGGCAATAACTAATTAATTCATTGTGGAGGGATGGTGTTCTGGGGAAAATGACATTGGCAATCCCCCTCACCATTGAACCCAATGGGTTTTAACTATATGTGATTTTGGCTTTTGACGTGATTCCCAGTACATAACTCCCACATAAGTTGTGAGCTTGCTGTATAGCAATAGCAAAACACATATTGGGTACCACCCAGAAGTCTAAGAAGAGGTTGTCATGCCCAGGGGCCCTGCTACTGATCTTATTCAAATTCTCAGTTGCACAAGGGTATACCTTCAGCAGTAATGAAGAAATAGGTTTAAAAGAGAAGGCATCACAAAGCTATGGGGAGCCCTGGGGTCCCCTGGTGTGGGTTATGGAGGCATCAGACACTGACCCTGACACTCCTCCAGGACCTAGTCACACAGAGCCTGTTGAGGTGGAACCCAACAAGGCAGAACTTCCTGGGCCAGAAGCCCCTACAGACGGCCCCAATTCTTTCTCTCATTTGACCTTGCAAGCTCATACTCACACATAGTAAAAGTGAGAAGACATAACCAAACAGTGCTGGAATGAAAAGCTTCAATCATAGGGTCTGCACTTTAAACATCTTATCCCCACCATGAGAGGATGGAGCTTCAGAAAGTTATCCAGGCTTTGATTACACACGTATCCAGGACTGGTCCATTATTCTGCAGAAACAGGAGTCATGTATAATCTGCTTTCATTTCCAAATTCCCATTTGTGCCTAATGCAGCACACAGAGCAATCTAGTGGGCAGTCTACTCTTCAACAGCAACACACTCAGATCGTGATTACCATTCATTTAGCTCAGCAGATTACAAATGAAAAGTACAAATTATGGCATGCCACCTCTCTCTCTCCTATTTGAAAAGACCTCATTCTCTCTTGACTGAAAAGGGAGGGCAATCATGAGAAAGTTAGCTTTTTGACACTCTTTACCATCTCTAATATATACCTTGAGGGTTTGGAGGAGCAGGTGTTTTACAAACACAGCTGTATTTTTGGTAGGGTATGTTCTATTTTGGGACGCGGGTGGCGCTGTGGTCTAAACCACTGAGCCTCTTGGGCTTGCCGATTGAAAGGTCAGTGGTTCGAATCCCCATGACAGGGTGAGCTCCCGTTGCTCGGCCCCAGCTCCTGCCAACCTAGCAGTTCGAAAGCCCGCCAAAAATTGCAAGTAGATTAATAGGTACCACACCGATGGGAAGGTAAACGGCATTTCTGTGCGCTGCTCTGGTTTCGGTGTTCCGTTGCGCCATGGCTTAGTCATGCTGGCCACACGGAAAGCTGTCTGCGGACAAATGCCGGCTCCCTCAGCCGGTAAAGCGAGATGAGCGCTGCAACCCCAGAGTCGTCTGCAACTGGACTTAACTGGCAGGGGTCCTTTAGCCTTTTTTATGTTCTATTTAGGGATTAATATCAGGGCTGGTCAACTGAGGCAAGGGAAAGTGACCGCTTCAGGTGGCAGGATCCATAGGGGCAGCATTTCTGACCCCCAAGGAATGCATTGCCTACTGCTGCTGCCACGGTGGCAGCAACAGCTGTGGCACACTCCTTGGAAGCCTGATGCGCTGCCTCCTCAGCAGCCCTCGCCCAATGCCACATCCACAACAGCTTCTCGGTGAATAGGAGGTTCTCCTGGTCTCCTCCCACCCCAGGGAGGACATGGTCGTGCACCCACCCAGCATGATTCAGAGTGGGCTGCTTTCCCCCCCTGCAACAGGCTTTGCTTCGGGTGGCCCTGTGGTTTAAACCACAGAGCCTAGGACTTGCCGATCAGAAGGTCGGTGGTTCAAATCCCCGTGACGGGGTGAGCTCCCGTTGCTCGGTCCCTGTTCCTGCCAACCTCGCAGTTTGAAAGCATGTCAAAGTGCAAGTAGATAAATAGATACCGCTCCAGCAGGAAGGTAAACGGCATTTCCGTGCGCTGCTCTGGTTCACCAGAAGCGGCTTAGTCATGCTGGCCACATGACCCAGAAGCTGTACGCTGGCTCCCTCGGCCAATAAAGCGAGATGAGCGCCACAACCCCAGAGTCGGTCACGACTAGACCTAATGGTCAGGGGTCCCTTTACCTTTACCTTTAAGGTTGATTGGATCCCCTCCTTGTTCCCAATGTAGATCTTCACACACCCCTTCTTCCCTGTTTGGGGGGCGGGAGCCATTTTGTGGTTTTGTGCCACTTATATGTGTTCCAGTGCTCAGGCGAGCAATCACTTTGGGTTAGCAGTGCAGCCAGGAACTAACGCAACCGAACAGCGGCAGCCTCTGTGATAAGAAGAGCTCCAAACTGGGCCTAATAAATCAAGAAAATTGCTGCTGCCATACATCAATTCCCAGGTTGTATATTACATGACTCACACAAGTGGGCCTCTTGCATGAGCTTCACGAAAGAGAAAATAAAGAGGAGAGTATAAGATGTGAATTGGCTGGTAGGACCAGTTCATGGGATCAGAAACTGCCTGGCTTTCCTTTTGGGTAGAGTTTCCTGATTCAAGTATCTTTACAACAGCTCAAAGTTGATGGGCATTGCCATCAAATAGCGTGCACCCGCCACATCTTGTGATTGAGTAAGTGGGGTAGGGCCAATGTATTGCTCTGATTTTCCTTGTTTTCCTTGACAACAAGAGACTTGTCTGGGCAGCCAGGACCTCCACACACACTGTCCAGGCTTGTGCCCCAAGTAGGTCACTTTGGTGCTGCCAATGCAATGGTTTGCCTTAACCCCTGGAGGTGCACTCCATTGTTTCTCATGACATTAAGCCAACATGCTTATGGAGATGCAGGCCTGGACTATTCAAGGAATAGCCTTGTTATGATGTGTGTTTGTGCATGGTGGGTGCATTCCCTGTGTATTTTGCTCCTTTCATTTCCCCCCAGATACATATATATATAGTATACCAGAAAAGCAAAGGAACCGACTGAGCTATTTTAATAAAATCAAACTCTCATTGCTGCAATAAATAATGAATGTCACAGTGGGGCTCATCAGCTATAGCTGTAGCTCTGTTTGCCGTTTCATTTTCTCTATTGATGTAGTATTGATGCTAATGCTATTTCCCGTTTACGGATCATGCCTGC